AAAAGTTTGAGAGGTAAATGAGATTCACTAAAAGTGCTCGATTGTATAATCAAATTCATCCAGGATATATCGGAATATTCTTCTGCGATATCGACGTTTCCAGTTGCACCAGTCAAAACTCCAATGATACGTCGTAGTATCGCGTTACTGTACATTTCGTTGGATCCTGGTACTTAGCTATTTTTATGATCCGTCGTTCTCCGACATCAACTTGTCATCTTCACCAATTCCTCCATTAATGCATGCAAACTAAACCAGCTTTCTGCTCCATCAAAGCAGCTCGTTCGTTCAAAAAATTCAATTCATGCATGCATGCGTGAACAGGGTTTCGATTCCTATTAGTAAATAGTAAATATTAGGTTAAATAAATAAGAACTGAAAGAATATTCTATGAAATTTGAGAGTCATCATCATCAGCATTTTCAGTAGCAAAGAGCTTCTGGTCTTAATCTGGATTCCATGACCCTTTCTTCGACCCCATATGCACTCGTGATATTTTTAAATTCTTATATAATTTAAATATTTTTTATATTTTCTATTAATAATATTATTTTATTTTTTATAATTTTACACCGACGGCAATGATACAGTTGTATGGATATTTTTTATAATTTACTTTGGGATAATGGGGGCGAAAAGCAAGGGCTGTCTTCTGCCTATGCAGGAATCATAACTATCACAACCACCACTACAACTGCAATTACTTCCGACAAATCAAAATGATGGTGTAATAATTAGGTGATCACTTTAGATGCATCACTTTCGATAATAACCTACGAATAGTTCAACTCAACTGAAAGCCGAAGACTGAAACAAATAGCCGTGCTTCCGCATAACCCACATCACGAAGACCATCACTGCAAGTTAATATTTTTTTTTAAATCTCTATTAATTTCGAATTAATCCCTCTAACTTTTAAATCTTAAATTAATATGTTGATAAATTAGATTTTGACATTCTTTCTCTTACTATTTATATTCCCCCCCCCAAAAAAAAAAATTCACCTGATTCCACCCCTAGTCAGCGGTCTGGTTTTGACAATATTGATCCAACTAAAACTTGCCCTTAAGGACCCATCCTTGATGCCCACGTACTCAGCATGGACAGTCGAGAGGTCACGTTGAGACTTTTCTTATCACATTCCTCACATTACAACACACACCTAAAATAAAGTTTGTATTAATTATATCACATGTCTTTTAATTATTAGTAAGATTATAATTGAATTATTTAATTTCAAAAAATTATAAATACACTATTAAAAAAACAAAACTTGAGAAGGAGTCGGTAGAAAACATTTTTAATGATTTTCTTATTAGATAAATTATACATCAAGTTATCAAGTTATTAGTAATATTACAAATATGTCACTTAATTATTAATAAGATTATAAATAGATAATTCAATTTAAAAAATCATAAATGAATCATTCAATTTAACAAAAATAAAATAAAATCTATTTCAAGTTTTGGGTTTCTCGAAGATCGGGAATCACATTCCACAATTTGACTGGTGGAGAGACTTTCGTCGATGAGAGGAATAACATATCTTGAATCAGAGCCATATGACCATGGAAGATGTAAATCAAGGTTTGAGGAGTCAGCAACTTTTGGGGGTGATTTTATGATTTTTAGGAGATTCTCATAAATCTAATGGAATGAATTGAACAAGGGGATCAATGTGAATCTTATAGTGAACTTTGATATTCATCTACCACTGTATACGATAACTGAAGACAATCAACGTAATGACACAACTTAATTGTTACAATCAATTAAGTAGGTTACTTGATTGTTACAATCAATTAATTGGGTGACTTAATTTTAACTATTTGAAATTTAAAATTCTTGATGAATAAAATATGGGATAAATTATATCATAAGTCACTCAATTATTAAAATGATTATAAAATGGGTCAGTGAGTTTCAAAAATTTACAAACGTGTCTCTTAGTTAATCGATTGTTACACTAATTAGCTTAACCTTATTCCCATATGTAATGGGGTAAGGGGGATGTAGGATAGTAAGATGTCCCCAACGCCAGGTTGAGAGCAGCTTCCGTAGGAGACCTCCAAATTATGAAATGCCCTCCGTAGGACTCGATCCCACGACCCCAAGGTTAAGAGACTTGTGCTCTACCAACTGAGCTGGATGGTTACACTCTACTATAAAAAATAAAATGAACAATAACATTTTAATTACAATAAGGTCACTCTAATTATTAATTGTAAAATTAAGTCATTTAATTTGTCAATTGTTATAATTAGATCACTCAATTATAACAAAAAAGTTAACATATGTATATTATATACTTAATGACACAATGACATGATTGTAACAAAAGATTAATCTCATTAAATTTCAACGGTCGTAATATTTTTCATATTTTAATAATTAATCACTATTAGAAAAAATCGACTATAACTAATCAGTAATAGACAAATCAAGTCGGTTTTCAATTTTATCGATGGTGAAATTCATTTACCATAACTCATTCAATTCATTGCCATCGTGTTGATTAGTCGTTTTAGCACGAATTTCTATTGTCTCAAACATTACCTCTTTAGGTGAGTAGTTTTGTTTTACCGGTGTTCTATCTTTATTGTTAACTTGTTTTACCTTTTGTGTGTTGGTGCTCAAATTAGCTTGTTACTGTATTTCACAACTCCATGCAGTGGTACGCATAAGACAACTTCACATGTAACCATATACATACAAGCATCCTCATTCGTATGAATTTATGTTAGGAGATGTGATTTTGAGAAGTCATATAAAAAATTTAAAAATATAAAATTACAAAGATACAAAATTAGATAACTAATAGAAAATACAAAATATATATATAAATTATATGGGTTTTTGAAATTTCTAAGGGATGCGGCCCCTTGGTGTATTCCTATATACAGGGGTGATAGGGGACCTAATCCCTTAAATGGTAAAATTTTAATTTCAGTCCTTTAAAATTTAAAGTTACAAAATTAAGATAATCTTAAAATTATAATTTAATTTCTAGATGATAAAACTTCACCTTGGGTGAGTGACAAATTTTCTCCTTTTTCTTTTTGTCAAGAGGGCGAGAGAGACTAATGTCATTTAAAATTAAAACGGTATTTATTATCTATACATTATAAATTCTAAACTTATCTTATCGATGAGAATAAATTCAAATATTTAGATTAGAATATCAAATCCAAGTAGCTGAAGTATTCTATACAAGGGAGTTGATGAAAATAAGTGATCATATTGATGTTGAATTGACTCAACTCTCAACCTGATTCTTTAAATGTAAAGTTCATGGTAGGTAATGGAATAACGACGCTATAGAGTTGCCCGAGAATTATAAATCGGCTATAATTTATTTAAATATTATTATTCAATAATTATGATATCTATAATTGATACAGTTATAGCTTTTATTCTATGAATTAAAAAGAAATTTTTTTAAGATATTTGTTGACATGGTATGCTCTCCTGGAGCGTATAATAGTAGGCTAGGGAGAGTTAGGTTATTTATAGTATTGATTTTGGCAGTGATAGGGCTGACACGAGAATGCATGCAGGGGCTATCCAAACTGCAATCTCTTGTCCCCTCAATTAACTCAACTCATTTTCCATGGAAAATGACTCACTCTTTAATCATTTTCCAATCATATTATCGTATTGATTACAAATTATACACAGGGATGGAACGACGTGCGAGTGAGGTCAAATATTTTTAAAAAAATGTAAAGTTTTTTTTTATATATTTTTATATTTTCTATTAAAAATTTATTTTTGTCTCTTGAGATTTTATAAATTTGTTTCTTCTTAAGATTTTATAGATTCGTCCACTAACATAAAATCATACGTCCATACATGATTATACATGTTTTAAAAAATAAAAATATGAGAAATGTTTACTATAACTAGAGTTATAAACGTTTCGTTGGACTTATAAAATTAGATTGAATATATAAGTAATCATTAAAAGCGGTTGATATAGTATTTTAGTTATGAATATTTTGGAAATTAAAATAAAATAATGTAACTTATAGAAAAATTAAAAATATTTTTTGTTAGTGTAGGATGATTATAAAGTAGTTCTGTTTGAAAGACTTTCAACTATTTAATAATGGACGTTTAAACACTTATCCAGGGATAACAATCTTCTCTTAACTAGGGTGTGCAAATTTAGATATCCGAAAATTTCGGATACAAAAGATAGTGATATGTATCCAATCCGAAAAGTTATATATCCGAATTTTGGCTCGGATATCTAGATATCTAGATCCGAATAAACTTAATTTGACAAAAAAATAATTAATTTTAAATTAATTCTACCTACGAGTAGCTTATATTTTATTGTATTCCCGAGGTCAATTCCCGGCTACAGAAAATTAATTTTAACCAACGAGTGCTAGTACAAGTGATTGAGATTAAAAAAAATTGGGCTTATAAAGTCAAGTTCAAATCCTATCATTGTCACTATTGGTAGGCAATTTATAAATTTTATATTTTATATTTTGTGACTTAATGTAACTTATTTGATACCCCAACTATATTATATATATATATTTAATTATTCACGCACAATAAATAATTTAATATTTTAATTTTTATTGAGCTATATCTTTAATAGGTTAACGAGTTACTCATTTACTGGGCTAAATGCTATCTTAAATTTAAAAACCTAATTTTTTTGGATTTTCAGATAATCTAAAATTAAAATTTATCTAATCCGTATCCAATCTAATTATCAGAATTTTTCTTATCTTAATTATCCCAAAAAAAAAACATATGGAATATTTAAATTTTCAGATCAGAGCATTAGATCACATCGAATTTTTTGCACACCCTTACACTTGACCACTGAAATTAGGTTATTGGCAAACTAATATGTAAAACTTCGTTAGTGGATTATTTTTATACAGAATTACGTAGAGGAGATAAATATTAAAATTATACATAATATTTATTAACGTACGTGTAATATTATACGTTTGGATTTCTTAATAATTTCTTTCAGATAGCAAATGATCCAGATAGTGAAACATTCGCCAAATCAGGGATGGTGTTCCAGTAATTCTTGTTTTCTTCGAAACCAGCAGCATAAATTGTCCCCACATCAAAACTCTGCTGATTATGATCAACAGCATTACAGGCCATTAACGTATCCGCCGAATACCCTTCGAATTCCATGGCGTTTTCCGCCCACAATGCATTTTCCGGCGAGCAGCCCAACACTTCATTCAAGTCCATCGTTGAATACACGCAAGTCCCATCATTTGAGTTCCCAACAAAGCCGTCATTTTTGAATCCGAAGTACGAAACCGGCAACGTGTTCTCGACGATGTTCAACGTCGAGGTCGGAGATTGGAGGTTGTTGTTGTTGTCGATTGTGTTGAAAGTGAACAATCCACTGGCTACGCGTTGCCATGCTCTGAGTACGTCGAGGCACGGTGGCTTAGTTACATGAGCAAGAGCAACACCAACATTTTTATTATTCATCAGTGGTGGAGGAGGAGCGGAGGAAGTGGAGGCGAGCCGTTGTCTGGACTCTCGTACTAATCTAGCTTCAGCTTCTAACCGTGTACGTTCCCATTGAGTCATGTGGGTAAGATTAGAGGTATCCTTGGGGTTACTAGTGCTGGAAGCATCTGTTTTGGGCTTGTGAGTGGAGGGATCGATCCCCATGTTGGACAATCTCTTCTTCAACCGTGTATTCCAGTAGTTCTTGATCTCGTTGTCTGTTCTTTTCGGCAAATAAGACGCGATAACCGACCACCTACATACGCATGTTAAATAATTGGTTGATGTTTTAAAGGTTGAATTTTAAAGCGAAATCACCTGTTGCCAAGAATGGCATGAAGTTGAATGATGGTTTGCTCTTCCTGCAAACTGAACTTTCCTCTTTTGATATCTGGTCTTAGGTAGTTAATCCACCGAAGTCTGCAACTTTTGCCACATCTTCGAAGCCCTATACATACATATAACAAAATCAAAGTGAAAAACAGAGCAAAAGATGAGGTCAAGATTGAATAAAGTGAATAATGACCGGCTTTTGCAGGCAAGACACGCCAGTTTCCATCGCCGTGCTGTCGAATGTAAGACACGAGTTTTTGGTCTTCTTCTGGAGTCCAAGGTCCTTTCTTCAACCCCATCTTCTGGGAACTCCGAGGCTGCTTCATCTTCTTTCAAATTAACCCAAACCCAATCCAATAATCTTGGTGGTGAGAGAGGCCTTTTTGTACACAGAAAAAAGGCTGTGAAAATTGATTTTTTATTGTTTTGAAGGTGGTAGATATGGTTAATTTAAGTAGCAATGTGCGTGTCATTTATAGACCTTTTAGTGTAATAAACAGGGTAAAGTATACATCTAGTCACTCGCTTATTTCTATGATTCTGTTTTAGTGATTTAATTATTTTTTTTCAAAATCATACCTAATATTATATTTTTGTTTCGTTTTGGTCACTCGTCGTTAAAAAGTAAACATAATTGCTTATATGACAATTTTTATTTTTAATTATGAAATGATATTACTTATGATGACATGTCAGCATTTTTATTTATTTTTTAATGATAGGTGACCAAAACATAATGTTAAGTATAATTTTAAAAAACAAAATAATTGAGTGATCAAAATAGAACCACTGGAATAGGTGGGTGACTACATATGTAGTTTACCATAATAAATATTGGTTAAGGCTATATGACCATTGTACCCTTCATTTTGTACATAAAATCTCGATTGCTTTATCCAAAAATATTTTTTTTCAATCAAATGACTATAAAATCAAGGGAAAAAGCTAGAAAATTTTGAGGAGGGTTAAACTTGATATATTTATGGGGTTAAAATATAATTGTATTATTGTATTTATTTTTAACTTGAAATTCTCTTAAATGCTAAAATAAAGTTTTTTTCCTCTTATTTTAGAGGGTAAAATTATGGTTTTATCTTTAATAAATTATAATTTTATGAACTTTAAAAGAGATAAACAAGATTTAACCATTTTAGGGAGTCATGGCCCCATCATCCTAATTGAGAGAGTAAAAAAATAAACAGACTTTAACCTACTAATCTATTCGTTTAACATTTTGGAGAGCTTTCATTTTTCATTTATATATTGGCATAATGTCAAAATTAGTCACCCGACGTTTATTCAAATAGTCATTTTGACCTTTATACTATTTTTCATCCAACGTTTTATTTTTGGAGAAAAAGGCCCCTCTGCGGATGAAAATCGTTAGTTAGCAAACTATTAACACTCCAAAATAGGGGTTTTTTTTACCACAAAATGAAACATAAGGAGCCAAAATGCTCTAGAAAAAAATAAGGGTCAAAGTGACTATTAAATCAAATATTATAGACTTTTTTGTTTTAAAATGAAACGTTGGGACAAAAGTATTCCAAGAAAAGAATAGAGTTCAAAATGACTATTTTAATAAACGTTGGATGCTAATTGGACGTTATGCCATATATATTTAAGATTAGAATGGGAAATTTATATTTAAAACCCCTCTTTTTGCCTTGAAAGATGAATAAAGGAGAATATCAATGATATAGTTGTAGGTCTATCTATGAGCCAGGTGGCCCGTTCGGTCAACCCAAATTTGAACAAAGATTTAAAGTTTGTGGGCCAGTTCGGCCTGATCCATATGTAAATTAGATAATTTAAAAAAAATTAAAAGTATGTGTTAATTTTATTATTATATGACAAATGTAATGTATTAGTAATTTGCTATGTTCACATTACAAAAGAGTATAAAATATAAATAAGATATTCTTTATAATTTTGGTGTATATTAGGTACATGCTTACTTAGCACATTAAAATGAATAGTTTTTTATCTATTGGAATTTTATTCTTCAAACTTAAAAAGAATTATTTAATATATGAGTTTTTAACCCTAATTTTCTTTTGTTTTCTTGTATCGTCGTTATTTTTTTCTTCTTCATTTTTATAATTGGCAGTGATATCAATCTTAGTGTTGGTCGTCGACTGTCGGTATTCATTTTTTTCTTTATTTTATTAGATCATAGCTTTATATTTTTGTTGTAACATCCCAAATCAGGGTCAGTGACTAAATTGCAAATTTTTGTAAACTAGGTGCTCGATTTCGAAATAAGTTAAAAGTTTATGGATTTAATTGAAGAAAGTTGATGTTGGATTTAATGATTAAGTTTGGAAATATTAAGGGTACTATGGTAATTTTTCAGGGAAGATTTTTATTTCCCTTTATAAAGGGTAATAAGCACGTAGGAAGAAGAGTCCAGAGCATTCTTCAGTCTTCTTCTTCCTCCTCTCAACCGTGAAGCCTGGTATAAGGTAAGTGGGTCTTTAGTTGGTTAATTCTTTCGTTTTAAAGCTTGTTTTGATTCTTGGGATATTAAGAAAGATTAAGGAAAGCTTTAGGTGGCTTAAACCTCAAAGATTAACAAGTTATGAGAAATTAAGAAAAATGAGTTTTTAAGTGAATTTTTGATATGGAAGGATATAATAGATTGTGAAGTTGAATTTTGACTTGTCAAGGGTTAAATTAAGAGATATGAAGTGATAGAATGAGTTTTAGAACATGTTGGAAATTTAGTGTGATTCTTGAATGCCATGTAAATGATAGAATTTTGAGTTTAAAGAAGTGATTATGGAGTAGAAATGAGTTTAAGTATGTGTATGAAAGTTAGGAATATTAAAGGGAATGAAGTATGATGTGTTGAGCTGAAAATGAAGGATTTTCGAGCTCAAAATATGATTTCTGGGCAAGGGGAATCGGTACCCATTCAAGGGGAACCGATACCCCTTCAAACGAACAAGAATTTCCAGTATGTCATGGGGGAACCGATACCCCCATAGGGGGGAACCGATTCCCCCTAAAGGAAAATTGGGAATATGGGTTTAATAAGTTCGTTTAAGTTGCTAGTATCCAATTACAAGGTGTAGGTATCTAATGATTTTCTCGAAATGTACATTTATGTAGATTCTACGCATAAAGCAATTCCGGAACGTTTGGCAAGTAAGATCGATCAAGGGAAAGATAAGAGATTGGAATTGACTAGTGAGGCCAGGTTAGTGCATATTCAATAGTATACGATGTGCGATGGGAATAAGACTTGCGATGAGTCTATTTCCTAAAGTGTTACACATGAATTCATGATTAAAGGCATGAGTGGAATATGCATGTATGTATGTTTGATTATATGGATTGATCTGTTCTTTTATGTGTTAGATGATAAAGTATAAGTAATTACATAAGAAAGGTTATGAATTATATGAGATATAAACTATGTGATCATAGTAAAATATAATTATATTATTATATGATAAGTGAAATAAGTTGGATAATATTGATCTATAGGATGAAGTGAGAATAGTACACTAACTAGGAGATTTGAACATAAATGATAAGATGAACATATAAGATACGCTAGATGGGAAAGATTCATATGTTTAAATAAAATAACACATGGGTTGTATGATAGAAATTATGAAGCTATATGAGAAGATTATAGGAGTTATATGAAATTGAATTAAGTAACAAATTAGATTATATATATATATAGAAATAATAGAAGTGAGATGTGTTTATAAGTCTGCCCTAGATGAATATGAATATGAATTATAAGAGTGCTATATGATTTATATTAGGATAAATCTTGAGGATATATATATATAGATAGATATGAAATGAATGAAATGAGTATATGAATACATAATTATGTGATGAAATGGTGGATTACCTGAACATGTGAATATATATAGGTCTAAGAGAAGGCATAAGATTAAGATATAAGCAATGTGACTATAAGTATATATGTGCTCTAAGTGATATGACTTATAGGTATTTCTAGTATAATGTTACATAATATGTTATATATGTTAAATGAATTATGTGATGGTATAAGAAATGATATGAAATATATATGTGAAAACAAGTATATGTTATGAGATAAGACTTATGACTATAAGCTACGTGAAAGTGTTCTAGGTGTTTCGATATATTATATGAAGTATATGATCTTATGTGAACAAGATATGATAAGTATGTTTACATGAATAAAGGTGATTGGGTGAGAAATGATAGAAATTATATGAAAACATGACATATGTGACATGTGAATTATATGGAAATGATCTACGTGTAAGTGAACTACGTGACTATGTGATCATATGAAAAGAAGCTATGTGATACGTGATATGTGAAAGTGACTTACAAGTTTATGTGAATATTTGAAATGAAATAAATGATAACGCCCATGTTATGTATCATGAGAGCTATGGGTATAGTTGGCATGCCAAGAGTCGATGGTCTACGCGGTTCTTTGGGACATATGTATATTCTTTGGAACATGTGTGAAGTCTTGAAAGACACATACTTGATCCCTAGCATATGTATATGATTCTTAAGGAATTCTATGTGGTCCTTATGGACATCATTATATGGCACTACAGTGCAATTCTACGCGGTTCTTTGGGACATATGTATATTCTTTGGAACATGTGTGAAGTCTTGAAAGACACATACTTGATCCATAGTATATGTATATGATTCTTAAGGAATTCTATGTGGTCCTTATGGACATCATTATATGGCACTACGGTGCAATTCTACGGGGCACTTCGGTGCATTTATACGAGCTGTGGTGATAGCATATTGCACAACCTCTATAGACTACATACGATAGTTCTCATATGTACATGGGCTAATCCAGAGATATGAACAAATATAAGTTAGTGGTATGATAAATGCTATAGAAATGATGAATTATGTGTATGTATGTATTTACTGTAATTAATCTGATATGATTTTATACGATATGAAAAATGCATGGAATTGCTATAACATGATAGAATAGAACATGCATGTATCAATATATGTTTTAAAGTGCATTATAAGTTGTTATGCCTCACTAAGTCTTCGACTTAGCGTGTGATTGTTTCACACGTAGGTTTCGAGAAGAGTAAGGAGTGATGCGGAGCAAGACAGGTCAGTTTTCCTTACCAAAAGATCAGATCAGAAATATTTGACAAAGTATGTATTTGGTTATGTATAAAGTGTTGGCATGTAATAAGTCATTAAGTACGAGCACTCTGATAAAGTCTTTATTTTGATTTAAATAAAGTTTTAAATTTCCCGGGATTTTTCTTAAGAGTCAAGGTTTGAAAAGTTAATGTGACACTTCGGACTCATATCCGGG